TTTGTGAGTAAAATGGAATCTGGAGTCACCAAGGACTTTGGAGAAGGTGAACATGTGCTGAGGGGGAGAAGCAAAGAGAAGCATAGAGCTAGGTGGGGGTAATGAAAGACTAGGCCACTGGATGGTAGCAAATGGTCACTGAATTTTACAAGGATAAGAAAAATGAGGGAATTTTTTTTTAGGTTTCCAACAGTGCAACTATGTTGAGAGATAGGTCTGGCGGGGAGGTCACTTGCTATTGTCTTGTACTTTCCTGTGTCTTCAGCTCTTCTTGGAGACCAAATGATTTTTGTTGAAGAGTGTCTACATTTGATAACAGACCAGACCTGGAAACCTACAGGTTATTTGGCCTCTGGAGCATCTGAATTTATTATGTCACATATCAGGGCCCTGTTAGCAGGTGTCACACCGGTTCTAGACAAAAATCTATCCCTGGATTAAATTAGAGCACAAAAGAGCTATTTTAGTCCCTCAGAGCAAATCTAAGAGGTTTATTTTACACATTTATGAAAGGGTAGAGGTAAGATTCCTCTTGTTACAGTCTGGATTATACAGAAGCAAGGAAGGAAGTGGGAAGATATGGTAGCATTGACTTGGACTTGGCAGTTAATGTGGAGATACAGAAAAGTCGATGGATTCAGCAAGCTTTGGAGATGTGTGGCTTGCTGAGGGACTGAACGGGAATTTTCATGTACTTCCAATAATTCTGCCAATTAGAAATTCATTGGATTTGCAATCTTTTCTAAAAATGCAAATAAATTTAAGAAGCTTATGACTCGGGCAGGAGTGTAATTTATTCTGAATTAGTTCCACCAGTTTACTTCTGATATCACCTTGCTGAAGTCAGTTATACTAAAGAGAGGAGAATTTTACTTGGGGGAAAAATGTTTCACATAAGAAACATAATCATGTGTGGCACTGAAGGTGAGAGTCTTTTGGAATGAGAGAAGCATCAAGGAGCCCACTGAAACCAGAGTGGTATGTCAGGATTGGAGAACAAGAGAACAAGCAAACTTTGGCCTTCTTTATTTGTAATAGAAACAATCATCACAGCCAGGCGGGGTAGCACAGGAGTGTAATACCAACAACTCTGGAGGCTGAGGCAGGACAATCACAAGGTCCAGGCCAGCCTCAGCAACTTAATGAAACCCTGTCTGAAAAGAAAAAAACTAAAAAAGGACTGGAGATGTCGCTCACTGGTAAAAAGCCCTTAGATTCAATCTTCAGTACAAAAAAGAAGAAAAGAAACCATCACCAGTACCATCTCAGAGAAGTGACTATTTTTGGTCAATGTTTAAAAACAATTTCAATTATGTTATGTCAATGATATTAGTTTATATTTGGTAGCTGGTATGTAGAATTTTGTAAAGACTCAACTTGTTTAGATATAAAAATATTAAAGTTTATTATATTCTTTTTTCTATATGTATTCACATGTTATTTTTAAAAAATGAAGCTATAGATTCTAAAATGTTCAAAATGTTATCTGTGATTCAAATCTTGGTATATATTTCAAACTTCACATGAAAGCCAATGCTCAAAACTAAAATAAAACTACTGGAAAGAATGAGTTATGGGCAAAAAAATTGGCACACTCCTCACCAAGACTTCTTGGATGGAGAAGCTGCACTAAAAAGAACAAAAACAACAACTCAAAACCCAAGTAAAACATTTCTCTTATGTTTTGTTTTGTACTTGTAGTTCTAATATGGGAAGGCAATTTTTTTTATTAAAAAAAAACAAAGAAAGAAACCAAACTTCATAAAAAGCTTCAGAAAGTATTAGTGACATATTTGGGCCAACTAAATATTGTAAAACTTTTTTTATCAAAAGGCAAAGCCTTAAATGGCAAGATAAAAATAAAGTCTTGGTGCTAGTCAGTAAAATTTCCATGGATGCATGCCCTTCCATGTGAGTCACAAGTCTAAGGTCAGGTACACTCTGGCTATGAAAGGAACATACTGTGTTAGCCTTAAGTGCTGCCTCCAAACCCTCCTCTGCATCTGGCCAAAACTCTGTCCTGCCTCACTTGCATGGGTCCCAGCCACATTCACCAGTATTTCATCCCTCACTTCTTAGTATTCTAGTCCCTGCCTACTGCTGAAGATAAAGGCTGGAAGAGCAAGACTCCATAGAGAAAAGGTGCATTGAAATGATGGGATCTCAACATTATTGTCCACAGCTACACTGCGTATTTCTATAGATGATTAAACTGAAGCAAAATTAAGTTTTAAGCCTAGCTCAAAGTTCTAACTCAGATTATGCTTTAGAGTTAGAACTTGTCAGGTGTTCTCTGAAATTGTTGGAGACACTTCTGTATGCATTTTTCATATTGGTGCATATTTTATAAACAGAGGTACTGACTACTTTTGTTCTCAACTATCTTTTCAGATATTTATGTAGCAGACAGCTACATAAATGAAAGATAGAGATGGTATCTCCCTCCACAGGAGAGGGAAAGTGTGGGTTTTTTTCCTCAATCTAACAAAAATCTGGGCAAAAGGCAGACATATTTACTGCCCATTATAAAAGATCCATACTCCCTAAGCTTAGGGTTCCTCTAGTGAAAGAAAAACAGGAAGTACTGAATTGTCACCTAGCTGGTGAATGGGTGTAAATGTTGGGAGTCTGCCTATTGCTATTGCTGTAACTGAGAATATTATTTGTCTCTGACCTAGGTATCTCATGTCTTCTGACAACACCTATAAAACTGTGGCAGGTTGACTTGTGAGCTTGGAAGCAGGGTAAAATTTCAGACCATTTGCAGTTTTTGACAGAAACATAAAATCTCAGTGATAAAAAATCATGCAAAAAGAGAAAATATCAAGTACTGTGAGGTTTGATGCTTGATTTTTCAGATCTAGGATGATGTAATTACCAGGTTTTGAGCATTAGTGATGATATGTAACATGCTTTATTCTTCAAATTAAATTATATACACATATATACATGCATATAGAATTTACTTGATTTTTTAAAATTAAACATATGAAAAGGTTTATTTTTCTGGCTTTATACAATAAAGAAAGCCAACAACTGAAATTAAGTCACACAGTTAATAAGTGATGGATCTTAAGTCTCTGGTTTCAAAATTTGTGTTTTATCAACCTCCAAATAAAACACAGCTAAAATGGCATAGGTCATTTGGCTATAAATAAAATGTCTAGATTATATAGTGTAATGTTTAGTCTTACCATTTTTCTTTTTTTTTAACAGTACTTAGGTACTGACATGCTGTTATCTAATCTGAATTCAATATTAAATATTCAGTATTCACAATAAACAAAAATGTTTTTTATTTTTATGAATATTGAGTTTATATTATATATTGTGTAATCATAGTAGCATCTACAACAAAAGCTACTGTTTATAAAATTTAGATCAGAAAATAATGCTGCAAATACATTCCTTTAAAGCTACACATCTAAAAAAAAATCATCAGCTAGAGAAAGATAATATGGTAGTAGAAATAATTCCATTTAAAAGGCTGTGTATTCCATGAAACTATCTTGTTAGTCACAGAGACAAATAGAAAATTAACATATTAGACAGACTGGGAAAAGGACTACATATGTCTAGACTTTATAGATGTTCTTGAGAATGAAAAATATTTAAAACAAACGAAGACAGAAAATACTTCCCAATTTTATGGAAGCAAAATGTAAAATGTAGGCTTATATAAGACTTGCTTGGGGAATTTTTTTAAATCGATAATCCACTTCAAACCATAAACAGGTTTTCACTTCTATGATTCCATTCTGCTAACTACAATGCTAAAAAAAATAATGTTCTGAATCAACCATTTTGAAACATAAATAACAACAGAGGAAAACATACTTTAAAAATCCACTGAAGGCTCTGTTCAAAATGCAAACAATATTTTTGCAGATTGCTTTAACTAATAGAATGCTGTGTATTTATTGATATAATATTAATGGAAGTAAATTACTTTACTTCTCAGAAAATTACGTTTTTATAAAATTAAAAATGACCCAGTTAGAGCTTACCAAAAAAATTATAGTCAATTGTAATTGTCATATAAAACAATAATTACAGAACCAAATTTATAGAGCTATTTATTTAGAAGTGTATCTTAAATTGAAAGTTGAATTACCAATTCATTTATATTTTACTTCACTATAAATGACAGGAGGAGACTATAGTCCTAACTGCAGAGCATGCCAAAGGGGTTTAGGTTTGCTGTGGATAAGGAAATCCCAGGGAGAGGCTGATAGGCTAATACATATCATCAGTTTTCTGACCACTAAGACATAAATTATTTAAAAAAAAAAAAAACAGAAATAAAGATATGCATATCTAAATTCTAATTATGTAGTGAAATACCGTCTAGGGGCATAAACTATTAAATCTTAAATGGATTTTAAATAAGAAATCTGAGGAACCCCTTCACCAATGAGTTTTAAAGTAGGCCATAATTTTGTCCGTGAGGGTTTATTTCATCTATAAAGGCTTATATACCTTCTGATGTTTTTTCCCACTGTGGGAATCTATGCAGAAACTGGAGGAGGTCATTTTTATCCCAAATTCCTAATATAGTCAAGACACAGAATTTATTCATTCAGTATCCTTTCTTAGACATGTACATTCTAAGGGATTTGAGAAAGGAGAAAAAAAATTTAAGATCAGAATTACTTAATCATAAAAAACAATTTAAAAAAACCCAGAGTTTTATATAACTAAGAACTCTAAAACAATTGCTTTTAAGACAAAGCAGCAATTATTTTAAAGACAAGCAGAAAAGAGGAAAAGAAATATACATCTAGAAAATTAAAAGGAAAATGGAAAATAAAAAAATGCCGTTGCTAGGCTTATTATCATGATCTTCCCAACAGCAAAACCTGTGGATTATAGAAGATATGGAGATAACAGAACTGAGAGACAAAGGACCTAAAGGTGGTATTCCGAGAACTGGTAGCTTGGTGTCTGCTTAAGACACATATGTCATGAGTTTATACACAAGGAAACAAAATGAAGATTACCTGGAAATCTTCTAATTATTTGACATAATCCTTCCTTTCTGCAAAGCTGTTGCTGTATTTCTGGCACTATATTTATCTGAAAAGAACAAAAAGGACTCTATTGAGTTAGGTATTCATAAATGGTAAAGCAGAGGAAACACAAAAACTTAGAGTCTACATGTAAAGCACAGTCTACACCATCCACACCCAACCTTCAAATTGAGTCTACATTCATATTCAGAATATGAAAATGATTTGATAACAAAAAAATCTTGCCCTTAGAAATCTTCAAAATATTTGGGAATGCTTTTGAAAGCTGTTTTTAGATTTCAAAGTTGTTGCTTCATATAAAAGGAAATACTTATGGCAAATATAGTAACACAAAAAACTTGACTGTTTCAAATTTTGCATTGCAAAAAATAGTACTAAAATACCTCAAAGTTAACTAAATTCCAGAGATCCAGAAGCCTTCAGTGATTTGCGTCACACAGTTATTCAGTGGTAATTCAGTGTTAAATCTGTTTCAAAACTTTGCATTCAGTCTTCATACTGAAGGGCATTATTGCTTTCAGACATGAAAGCCAATCACCACAAATTTCTATTTTAAGCAAAATTGCTTCTTAGAAAGACTTGTAAGTTCTATCATAAATTCAAATATAGTTTTTTTTTGCTTACAAAGAAAAGATGCAAACAAATTTAATTCTCTCCTTTTGTGAATTTATAGATTAATAAGCTGTCATCAACTAAATCCCCAAACTAAGGCCACATATGGTAAAACCTTGTTAAAACCAACGAAAAGAAATCCATGTGAATTGGCTTAAAAATCAGATTCATTTTGGAGACATTATTGATTTCCTTCTAACTAATTCATCCTAACTTAACAAACCATTGTAGTTTCTCCATTGTGCCCTGCTGGCATGACTAGATAAAAGGAACTCAGCTCTTCTTGAGGAAAAAAAAAAAGAGGACACCAAAAAACATGGTTATAGTGTCACTTTTGCATTTAATAGAATTGTCACATTGAGTGTATCTTTCTGCCTTATTTCAGTTTATTCTTTGTAAAATAAAGCATTGAGAGCCTTTGGTCTCTGAGTTCTACTTCGGGTCTAAGATTTTATCAATTCTATAATTAGCTGTAGTGTTTTAAAAAATGATTCATTAACAACAGTGCTTTGAAATATTGCATCAATTAAATATCCTCTAACATTTGCAATCTTATTAACCTGTTTATTTATTTAGTAAACTTCCTTTCCTTCAATAATAGGTAGAAGAAGAACAAACTTTAGCCCAGATCCTATATGAATGAAGCTTGGGCTTCAGCAGAACCCACTACTGCATTAGGAGCACCCTAAATACTGTATTTTTTAAAAAGTCTACAAGGATACCAAAATCTAAGTTGCTTACACTCATTTGCAGTGGGAATTGGGAAAAGGCTGTCAGGGCAGTAGATTTTTTGTTTTAGGGTTGTATATTTTTCTCAAATTCAAAAATGAGAGTTCAGGGTCTGATGGTAAGAAAATAAGGGCTACCATAAAGCTCTGGATGCTTCAATTCAGAATTCTCGAGAGGAGCTGGAGGGACTGGCAGAACACTGCTAAGGTACTGAGAATCCAGAATGGAAATGATTGTGGTTGTTTAAATGAACACTCAAAGTCTGTTTCTAAATTAGATTCTGACAAGCTTTGAAAGTCAATGAAATTGAACCATTTTCTCCACATAAGGCAGCAATCACACCATTGCTAGTGACTTGATAGAAATACTCAGAAAGAGATCCAGTACTACGTAAGCAGCATCAAAGGCCAGAGACTGGCTCCATTTCTTTTCTAATTCTCTCCTAAAGGGTTCAGAGTAAATGTGCTGCACTGTGGATGCAACTGTGTTATGCCATCCCATCCTATGCACACTGAAGGGAATTGAGGAGTCCTGGTGAATGAATAACAATAACTACAGAATTTATGTAGATACAGCAATGGTAGAATACGGCTAGCCAGTATTTCAGACACAAGGATAGATTACTGGGTCTTGTCAAAGAGATGACTTGATGTGAGGCACAGGTTCAGGAAGATAAACTGAATCAGGAATAGCAAAGGACTTGCTTCAAAAAATCAAAGTCAAGCCAAGTGAAGCAACATCCTATACTTCTGCCTCCTATTTCCCTTAGTCACCCCATGCACACAACCCAATGACTTCTCCATGTGCTCTTTCCTCCAAAGTATATCTTTAGAATTCTGAAGAGTGGGAGACGATATAATCGTGGTGACATGTGACACCAGAAATATCATCTCTATTCAGCTCTGGAACTGAGCAACAAATTAAGCAGTTAAATGAGCAACTCACAAAAATTGACATTAGACCAGTAGAGTACAGGACAGGGATTGAGGGATAGAGAGAAGGGGAGAGGGTAAGGACATACTAGGGAATGCAATCTACCAAACTATTCAAGTTGACATAGAAATAAACCACAATGATGTATATATATATGATATATTTACATATCTGATATATATTCCACTGTTATAGTTTGGATGTGAGGTATCCCCCAAATCTCCTGTGTTTCTATAGAAATATTCAGAATTAAAAGAATTGAAGTGTAAGAGCTGTAAACTAATCAGTCCATCCTAGTTTAAATGGGCTAAATGGTAACTAGGCAGGTGGGGAATGGCTGGAGGAGGTGGGACACTTGGAAGCCTGCCCTGGAAGGGTACATCTTCCTAGAAGCCCTTTCTCCCCGCTCTCTCTAGGCTTCCCTGCTATGAGCTGAGCAGCTTTCTCCACTGAGCCCTTGGAACATGTTGCTTTACCTTGGGCCCAGAACAATGGAGTCTGCTGTCTGTGGACAGAGACCTCTGATACCATGAGCCAAAGTCAACTTTTCCCTCTCCGAGTGGTTCTTGTCCCATATTTTGGTCATCACAATGGAAAAATTAAAACTTTCACTCATTAAAATATCAATAGAAAAGAAATCAATAGAGTTGAGCAAGCAGATCTGAGGAGGGAGAAAGACAGGGAAAGGGAAGATTGGGGAATGAGATTGATTAAATTATGTACATATATGAATAAAACATAATGTATCCTATTATTATGTACAATCACAATGTAGCAATTTAAAGCAGAAATAAGGAGCAACTGAGTACAAAAAGGTGAAAACATTCAAGGGTCATGGATTATACAGTGTTCCAATCCAACCCTTTGGATTATTAAAGCTAATAATGTTCTCCTATATCTTAATGCCTTTTGTTTTTAAATTTATCACAAAATATATAATTTTGCATCATTACTAAGTGGAATATCATCAGAGTTTTAATTTGGATTAACTGACTTATATAGTGAAGAGTTTCTTCAGTTTAACTTTGCAATAATTTTCATAGCTTTTACTTTATTTCTAAAGAGCAATTTTAGGTTCACAGCAAAACTAAGCAGAAGGCATAGAAATTTGCCAAATATCCCATGCTCCCAAGTTTCAACATCCTCAGCACAAATGGTACATTTGTTACACTTAATGAACCTACACTGACATGTCATTATCAGTCAAATAATCATTTTAGTAAATACCAATATTACATTGGGTTTGAATGCTTTAAATACAAATAATACAGTGTCTGTATTATACATAGACTGCAATTTTTCTAACTTGGCACAAAACTTTTTTGAAAGGTCTAGTACTCGTATATAAAATAATAATGATATTCATACCCTGGGATATTTCCAAGAGATGAAATTGGGAGAAATAAAATGCTCATTTTAAAAGATTTTGATCCCAGCACACCTTCCACAAACTTAATCTGTGATAAGATGTTTTAATTTGTATTCATTAACTGTTGTCAGAAGCAAAAGAAAAATCACTCTTCTTTTGAGACTTATTTCATTAACAAAAGCAAAAATTACAATGAGCATTTAGAAAGTGTGCATAAATCAGAAAAAACTAAAACCATACTAATATAATTAACTTGTTAAGAAGAGTAGACATTTGGATATGAATTATTGATAAACTGAAAAAAAGTACCTAAGAATCTAGTCACTGGAATAATGAGAATAACAAGCACATAACATTATCTCTTAGGAAACTGTTTTTTTTATATATATATCCATAGACATATTTATGACTTTTATCAAAAATTAGTCCTTCTCCCAAACTATCCAATGTCACCAGCAAGGAAAAGAATTAATGAGAAGAAATTTTTAAAAAGCTAATCAAAGAAAGAAAGGTTTTTGTTTTTTGTTTTTTATTTTCCCCCTTCCCAGGTGTTTCACAATTATCGTTCCACAAATTTCACCTGACAGAGCCCAGCATGCTTTACAATAACAACCATTTCTGTAGTTCTCAGTGTGTCAAGTACTAAAAACAGCATCCTGATTTTAGGGACTACTAATCCTACAAACATTTAAAGCTAGAAATGAATCCCTCTGCTTTGCAACACCAGCACCAGTCTGTTTGAGATGAGATAGAGCCCCAGTTAGTAAACTTAGTGTTACCCAAATAGTGGCTCTCACTTCAATTTCAATGTTACACAGGCCAAGACAGTTTTAAATTCATGTTTCAGTCTTCCTGACTAGAGAGACTCATGGCCATTTCATTATCAATTACAGATATTACGATCGCTTCCATTAAGCACTAAAATTACAAAGTTCTAATGTGGCTAGTAATCCTTGTTCAAACAGGTGCCCTTTTTCTGTTCCCTCCAAGGTCATTGTCAATTCCACAACATCCCCAACCAAGTTGAAGCAATTTCTGTTTTGACTATTTATGTTATTTACATAAATGTGTCACGGTTCATAAAGCTTCAAATTATTCACTCTCCAAAATGATAGTGATCTACATGTATCATTGAGAATTTATGTATTCTTTAAAAATACTTATTAGGTTAGGCTGCAAGTTTAGTGCCCAAATACTTATTTTGAAATGTTCTATTGATATGATTGAGAAATCAGAAATTTAAAGTCAGCTGCCTCGGTGTGAATCTTGGTTGCTTTATTAATTAGCTATGAGCCCTTACACAAGTTTCTTAGCCTCTCTGTGTTTCCAGCCTCATCATCTGTAAAGAATGCACATGAATAAATATGTAAGCACTTAGAACGGGGCTTGGCACATAGTAAGGT